CTCGCCCAATGCTTCGAAGAGTTTGTAGCGTCAAGTGGACCGCAGCCAACGTGGCAATAGAAGAAAGAAGATTGGACGAAAAAGATTGGAAAAACATAAAATTGGAAATACGCTTTAGTAAGTTTGTCTTCTCTCTTTAATTTTTAGAAAGAGAAAACAAATCTAGAAAGGTTTATATACATCTCATATTTAAAAATATATATATATATATATACATGTATAAAAGATAATTTTAATCACACGCACGCACGCACGCACGCATAGTGCGATCTTATATTTAAGATCATTTTTTAAAATATAATTTGAAATGAATTTAAAGTTCCAACCAATGAAATGGCTCCTCGAAATGAAATCTAAGACTAGAGTAACCAATCGTCATTCTTGAAAAATTTATCGTGTAACATGTATGGCAAATAAAATAGCTCAGCTGACATATACATGGTATATGTCATGGTGGAAGTGTTTCTTTCATCATGACGCAGCCCAACATATAGCAGTAAGTAGAACGTAAACAACGCACATTGCGGAAAAACACATTGCAATTTAACCGGATTGATTTTGTTAAGAAAGTAGATGGAAAAGAAGAGAAAAAGCGTGAATCAATAGTTTATTGTCGTTATATAATAAAATGGAGCAATTGCGTTCCTTGAACAGAACAGTCAATATAACCGAGCCGATATTGGCAGAGGACAGTACGTTTTCTACAATAGCGTTATCGCTGAGGGCAGTGTTAGAACAATTGGATGAAAATGCTAAACACCACGATTATCTTGTTGCCTTACTGCTTGTTCTGTTGGCAGAGTCCGGATTTGGCATTTCGTCCGCTTCTGATACTCCAAAATGGTAATATAAATTTGCAACACACACACACACACACACACACGCGCGCGCGCGCGCGCGCATATAGTATTCAAAAATTAAAAGAAATAATATCTATTCGCTCCTATGCGTAAATCAAAGCTAAAAACAAATGATATAAGCAAGGTCATCCCAGATTAATAACGAGCATAAAATAAAATGTATATATCCTAAATTTATTAATTATTCAAAAGAATTTTCCTAAGATATGTTCCAGATTTTACTTAGCCCTCTTCAGTCATAGAGCCCTACCCATATATCCAATTACAGCACATGGATAAATTATACATCAAACGTCAAGGTTCCAAACGGAGTCTGCACTTACGAAAATCTCTCAAAAAGTCGTATACATTTCGTTTTTCTCACAATTTCCTCTGATCCGGATGTTTCCGATTTCGTCATTAAAGCAACGAATTCCTCGATCGTTAACGGGAAACTCATTTATAGTCACAAAAATTAAAAATCATTGAATCGTATCACTCTTCTCACATCCAAATTCGATTTTCATAAACTATGAAAATGTGGTAAAAGTTGAGAAAGAATAATTCTATAAGTAAAATGTTCATATAAAATTATTTGTTATGCTGTTAACAATATCTTGTCCTGATGACTGACTAGTGACGATTGTCACTATACATGTATATATTATTGCTTTTGATTATTTATTAATCTGCATGTTACAGGGAGCAAAATACAAGATTAGTTTATATACCTAAAAATTGGAAGTCTCAAGAAACAGGAGTGTATGAAATATATTTGACATTGCGTAATGTAGATCACATTAGATCAAAATTAATTGTGATAACTTGTGGTGATAAATTGGTACTTAATATATTGTCGCATATACGAGATGTGAAGCTTTATAGCATGGTTGTACAAACATTAAAGTATGTGAATCCATACACAAATAATTTGTGTCATCGATATATAAATCTCAAAGAGATATCACATAGGTACGAACGATATGATTTTGTTTATTGTACTATATGTATTCTTATTATTTGAATTTTTGTATTTCAAGGTATGCAATAGTAGAATGTATCATCTTTGTGTGTGTGTGTGTGTGTGTGTGTCCTCAGTAAATTGAGTATGCACAAAAGAAAAAATTTACAATATATATCATATAAAACTTTTAAAAAATTTTGTTTAAGTTTTTTACAATATATTCTAAAAATCTTCTATTTTGTGCATATTTTTTTTCAATTCACTGAATATTAATTATCTCAAATTACCTGAATTTGGAATGCACTCATTCCTTCCGTTTGAATGGAATTCCTTCTGCCATTAAAAATTTCTCTTATATATGTACACAATGAATAGAACCAGGACTCAAATTTTAATCTTTTGATAGGCAATTAGTCTGCTAAACTATTCCATTTGTGCCTATATGTCTATTGCCTAGTTTACACCTGTACCATTTTTATTTCTATTTAATAAATATATTAAGTATTAATATATTTATTAAATATATAAGCTTACAAAATGATTTTTTCAGATTTAAAGACAAATTAGTCATGCCTTTGCGCACAGACATATTGTTAGTAGTAAATTTGATGGGTCCTAGTTTGGAGAGTCTGCCAATAGAATTACGTACAAAAATCGCAAATATGTTGACTATGGAATAATTTGGACATTTGTCAATACGCTCTAAGAAATTTTATAATTTCTTCCAAAAATCAAAAGGAAATTGTTAAAAAAAAGGAATTAATAAGATATCCTGATAATCTTATAGAATATAAATAAAAAGACAAAATAAAAAAATAAATAAATAAAAAGGTGTGTGCATAAATTTCTGTTAATATCTTTGAGAAAAGATCATTTGATTTTTAACAGTATATCTTATTTTTTTTATCTTTTTAAATAGTAATAATGCAATAATAAAAAAAATCACGTAAATAATTTAGTATTACACATTTAAAAACGCAAAAAAGTAAAATGAAAAAAAATTGTTTCTTACATTTTTTTTAAATCTTAACATAAGTGATTATATTAATCATTCTATAATTATTCTTAGCTTTTGTTGATGGGACAGTAGTGATAAGTACTTGGAATTATTAAAACAAATTTTTGCAGTACTTTTTGAGGTTATGTAATTCAAACGAACGGCTTTTTAAGGTTAAAGGAGCATTTATATATGAGGAAAATGTAAACTTATATCGTAATTGGTAAAGTTCAACATAATGCTTTCAATGCTTTCATTTGTAACGACTTGATGGATGCATATGTACCACAATAGTAAATTTAAATTTAACTTTTATGGTAAGTGGCAGCACAAATACTGTATAAATCATTGTACTGAACTTACTGATTACGCCATAAGTTAACAGTTATGGCCTGCATAAATGCTCCTCAAATCTGTCGAATAAACACAAGTGTGAAGTAACATTTGGAGGTTATGAAAGGTTATACGATCCCAGAAATAGTTTTTCGAGTTTAGACATTTTCAATGCTGTATAAAGTAATTTATAAAGTGCGTGAATATCTTGTTTTATTAAGTATTTTCGTTTACTTAATGTAATTACCACAAATAAATAAATAATCACAAAAACATGACCAAAGACAATAATCTGCAGCGAAATGTGTTAAATCAAGACTATTACCTGGCGAATATTTGATACTGTTTTAGGTATTGTAAATCATTATATTGAAGAGTCTTAAATTTTAATATCACGATGAATACAGTGACGACGGAGGAAGAGAGAAAGATCTTTCACTTTTTAAAATCTCAAGGTTGCTGTTTGAGATGTTGTTTTCGTTTCATTGGATACCGTACGTCGGAATGTTATTGTAAGCCTTACGAATTTGCGGCACAGGTAAGAAATGTTAAAAGAAATGAGTAATGTCGAATATCAATTTCAATAAGATGATTTGTTCAAATTTATTATATCAATATTCTTCATATTTCAATAAATCTGAACAAAAAACTGTATTAAATTTACAATAAATGTATACAGTATTAATTTACATAAAAAGGTATAAGCAATTTTGAATATTAATGAAATAGTTTATTTTAAAAAAGATTGTGAACAAATAATTTTGTTCATAAACTTGATTTGACACTTATATCTTAATATCAATTACAGCTGAGTTATGCAGATATAAAAGATATAAAAGACGATGCTTCTGTGGAAGAAACAACTTGCATTGCATGTTTAGGAGTTCTTCAGGATAAGGCACAAAAGAACGTAGTTACAAAAGTAAAACATTCACAACATATATACACAAACATACACACAACTCTATATACATTCTGTTTAATTTTATTGACGTTCAATTAATTCCTTCAATTGTTTGCAGATAGCAGAAAAAGTAAAGGAGAAAGATTATGACTGTATGACTTTCACATGTGCATTAACTGTTCCTGTATCAGTAAAGCTGAGAGAACACATATTATACGCTTACATGTATCAAGAGATGGATATTCATAAATCAATCTTAAGTACTCTTAAAACAAAATTACAAAATGTCAAAGATATTTGGAAATCGTTTATAATTCCTCAACTCGAACAAGCTACAGGAAAACGTGCAGATCTGTCGACACCATCGCCCTTTCTCATCGAAGTCCTCTTAATGTATGCCGACGACGAAATGATATTTAAAGAATTGTACGTATATTTTTAAAAATTCATATAATTAGAAATGTGAAACTGTGATTGTGTGTGTGTATGTATGATGATATAGATTATATAGATATTCTCTAGATTAGAGAAAATTGCTTTTTATGCATTTTGAGAACTACTTGTTTCCATTTGTAGAATAAATGAACATAAGAGAGGCGATAATAAACGGAAAAAGAGGAAATGCAACGATAATAAATTTAGTAGGAAGGATGTTGATACTTTACTGATCGAAATGACAGATGAGCAACTCATACAACATTTTACGATCTCGCAAATCATACCGAAAACGTTCGTTCATGTTAATGATGTTTTATGTTCTCATAGCAGCATTTTCATAGGAGGTATCGATGTGAACTTAAATGATAGCAAATTAATCATTTACAATACACCATGAGATCTCTTTACAATTTTAAAATTTCAGGACGTTACAATAAACTCTCTAGAAAACTCAGCCAGACTCCGTGGTTCATAAACGGTGAGAAAAAAGTGGAAACTTCGGTGCAAGATTTGCTCTGCAATCCCATCGCAGAAATGGTAAAAGCAGAATGTATGTTTTGACTATATTTACTGATGTTATATTTTTTTTTTTCAACAATGCTATCGACATATTTACGTTTGCACAGCGATAAAATTTTTATCGTCAGGAAGAGAAGACGTCGATGTCAGAAATATATACGGTGGTCGACCATTTGCTATCGAACTGTTGAATCCTCGTATGACGAATATCACGAAGGAACTATTGACGTGTTTGACCAGTAGTATCAATCAATCGACTAAGCAGGTTCAAATAACATCGAATTTAAAAGTTCTTTCAAGGTATACTTTTTCAAAATCTAATTAAAATAATGAGATTAAAAAATACAATGTAATACATAAAATTAAATAATAAGAACGATCGCGTTGATAAATATAAAATTAGATTAAAAAAGGAAATTCAATTAAATAAGAAAATTGTATCAAATATCTACTTCCAGGTTTGATTTGAAGAAGCTTAAGGAAGGTGAGAATGTTAAAACGAAGTTTTATCGAGCGCTATGTATCTGTCGAGACGTGAGTAGCGGTTTACCGCAATTGGGACATCTGAATGAATTGGAAAACGTTAAAATTATTCAAAGAACACCACTGAGAGTGCTGCACAGGCGACCATTGAGTCCGCGAACGCGTATAATTTACAAAATGCGCGCGCGTTGGGCAAAACCGTACGAACTGAAGAAATTGTTATCCACTGCCACAGAAAGTACTGACGCATTTTTTGTTCTCGACGTTAAAACGCAAGCAGGTACATATGTAAAAGAATTCGTACACGGAGATTTCGGTAGAACCAAGCCGAGTTTGTGCGATTTTCTTAAAACCGAAGTGGACATTGTCGCATTAGATGTCACGGGTATCAATTTAAAATGGCCGTAACGCGAGTCTAAATATTATTTAACTAAATAAAAAAGAAACTACAATAAAAGTATCGAATATAAAATATGTGTTGTCAAGTTGATAAAAAATAATGTCCCTTTTTAGTTTAAACTTTCAATTTAGGTAAATCTTTGTGTTGTACAATCCAGGGATGTCTTTTAACCTCAGCCAAGGAAATTCGCTCCGAACTTTTTTTCTTAATCAGCTGCAAAAATACATTTTTATAAATAAAAAAATCTTTATAATGTGTATTCTGATATAGAGATATATGAAGTACAATTGATACCTTAGATATAAGATCTTTGGCTGCAGGTTTAATCTGTTCTGGCCACTGTATAGTTATAGTTTTTATTTTCGCGTATGTTTCTTGTGTGGTACCGCTTAAGAAAGGTGGCTGCCCCGTGAGAAACTCATAACAAAGAATTCCTAAGCACCAATGGTCAACATAGAAATCATAAGTCTGTCCCATTACCATCTCCGGTGGTAAATAATCTAATGTTCCGCACAATGTGTCTCGTCTGAAAGAATAAATTTCGATTTAGCTCTTAAACTATTTGCAATAAAATTAAACTTGTTAAATAAATACTTTCTTCGAAATTATAAGCGTTGTACTACTTTAAAAAATGAGTTTTGGGCTTACTTTGCGGATGGTGCGTGTACAGACCAACCAAAGTCTGCGAGTTTTATATCTCCGTTATATGTAAGTAATAAATTCTCAGGTTTTATGTCTCTGTGAATTACACTGTTATTATGGCAAAATTCCAAAGCGTCGGCTACTTGATAGGTATATTTGGCAGATCTGATGAAATAATATTGACTGAATAATTCTTAAATTATATATAATGGTGGATGTTTTAGGATTACAAATACATACAAATGCTCGCTGAATCTCTCGTTCGGTTGACGTTTCAATTCCTTGTACAATTCGCCCCTGGCAGCAAATTCCAATACTAAATAAATTCTCTTGTTATCATGAAAGTATGTTAATAGTTGAAGAATATTTGGATGTCTGAAAACAGGTAGACACAAGATGATAATTATATGAAGAAAATATTTAACATTTTCAATACATGGTATCCATATATACCTTAAATGTGATTGTATTTCAATTTCTCGCATTACTTGTTTTTCCACACGTCCTTTTATCAATTCAACTTTATATAATGTCTTCAGGGCAACCATATATTGGGTGGTCTTCTCCCTGGCTAAATATACACGGCCAAACTTTCCTCTCCCTAATGGCGATCCAATTTCAAAATCCTCTAGGCTCCATTGGTAAGGTCTATTTAATGTTAATAAATTCTATTCTATAGAAATTCATGAACAAATTTAAAATAACATTAACTAATATTATTAATTTAATGTGAAAATATTTAATATTTAAAAATCCAATATGATGTTGATTACTTATTAAAAACTATATTTACATAACTGTATAATTATAATACATCTATTTTTTCAGCTAAACTTCTTGAACAATTTTTTTTTTCTCTTTATATATGGAGAAAAAAGAAAAAATAAACGGTGCAAGAAGTTCAATTAAAAATACAGATTTAATGTTTAGTGCAATTATGTTTATATGTATATACTTTCTGCCCCTGTAATTGCTGGCATGCTCCTGCATCTTACGCTCTACATTTTTAACAGATTCTTTAAATTCGGCAGGCACGGTTGATGGTAAAAATTTATTCATATAATCCATTATAGACAATACGAGAATTGACAATGGAATTAATGTAGAACCAACGTTATGTTTACTGTATCTATGTTTACAATATTTAAGTCACTGGAAAAAATGTTATACAAGACATATATAAATTGCTATGTGTGTATTTCTTATCATTTATAAAAATATTAATTACGAATATTATAAAAAGATCATTAACAAACATATGTCCAATTGTTAACATTTTCTTTTTTATATAGATAATAAAATCAAACACAAAATGATAAAATATCACAAGTTTATATCATAATAAAAAGAAATATAAATTATTTCACTTAAATGTAAAATGAATGAATAGCATTGACATGTGACATATTTGTATAAAATTATAGAGAACAATATATTAAACTTAAAAAGTACCATAGATGTAGATGACTTGGGACAGTGCAGGTAACTTGGGGCAGCATGTATTTTTGTTAAATTTAATAGTGGTATCTCTATTCATGAGTCTTTAGAGAGAAAATTTAAATTTTCTTTAGTGACTCATGGATTCCATGATTGAATTTAACAAAAGTACAAGCTGTCCCAAGTTACTTACACTGTTCCAAATCACCTACATTTGCGATATCTAAGTAAAAATATGCTGTTATTAAAAAAGAAAATGATAAGATTAGGAATTTCTTCAGGCATTTGTCAGATGTCCAAAATTCTTCAAGAAGGATTATTAGTATAACATTACCTACCATTCACTTATATTAAATATAAATATAGAAACGTCGGTGTAGTCTTAAAATACAATAAGCGTTGGGAGACGCTAATAAAGATTCAACTTGTTCAAATGAACAACAATATACGCTTCATAAGACCAGCCAGTTTAGGCATCTCGATAACTGTCTTAACTGACATGTTTCCCCCGCATTTGAACACTTTGAATTTTCAATGAAGACCTCTCTCGGAACAGCTGCGAACTACATATTCGCATTTTTGGATGCATTCATGCGGGATCTACAATGACCTAGAGTCCCTCTATACTAGGGCTGCGTTCGGAAACATCACCCGAGTGCCCTCAAGTATCGTCTTATCCTTGTTTAACACTGAGTGAATAACAAGGATAAAAAGATACACGAGGACACTCGGGTGACGTTTCCGAACGCAGCCTTGTATAAGGATTCTACAATGACCTAGCTTGCTTTCCAGCAAGGGCCTGTTCTTTTTGGCTGAATTTTTGCACCAGTTCATCTTTCTTCCTTTTCTCTCCAAGAAGAAAGAAGAGGAAGAAAGATGAACTGGTGCAAAAGTTCAGCCAAAAAGAACAGGCCTAAGGACATAATCAGACACTGAGCTCTTGAATTTGTTTGGTCTATATTTTTAGTTCTAACGGAATATGCCAACAGGATTCAAGCGCTCACTGAGCGCTCAGTGAGTGGTCGTAGTACTGAATGCACCCATTGTGTAAAGACCATCACACGAACAAAATTTTTAATCGTAATCGTAAGGCCGTAAGCAAATCGGCCAATCACAATCGAGCATTTTAAAACGCGAGATCGTAATTTTGATTGTGATTGGTCGATTTGCTTGCGATCTTATGATTACGACTAAAATTTTTGTACGTGTGATGGCCTTAACACAGTGTCTGACTGTGGCCGATATTCATAGTCAGATCTTAAATCTTTAAAGCTGATTCTACATTAGTCGCATCGCGGCGTCGCAAGCGTTGCGGTCCAATCAACGTCAGGCTAGCTCGACTCTGATTGGACTGCAACGCTTGCGACACGCTTGCGACGCTGCGATGCGACTAATGTAGAACCAGCTTAAGATAGTCTTAAGTTCAGCCCTGAGATATCATGAACCAATCAGAGAGCCGCATTAGCGTCTTAAGACATTACTTAAGATGGTCTTGAAATAAGAACCGACTATGATTACCGGCCTGTGTCCTTGCTGGAAAGCAAAGCTAGTTTACATCGTGCACTTGATACGGCTTGCTTTCCAGCAAGGACACAGTCAGACACTGTGTAACACAGTGTCTGACTATGTCCTTG